AACATAATTGAACTGTAGCATTTCAAGTTTTTAGCCCTGTAACAGTGGAATGGGTGTCGACGCTTAATGTCTGACAGAAATAGACTCTCAGTAACATCACTAGTGGAAAATGTGCCTGGTTTTTCCATATTTAAACACTCAGCATTGTTCCATATGTACATGCACCACAGAGATAAATGTTTATGTGCAGATACATATGCACATACATGCATGTTATGTTGTACATGTTACACGTATGTTACCCATACACATTTCACCGTGTGCGCTGAATTATGCTCTCCCCTACTGTTCGTGTGTTTCAGCCTAGTCTACACTGTGACTATTGCAGTAGAACCTTCCAGGAGGTGATTAAGCTCAAGTGAGACCAGGTAACAACTGGCAAGTGATGTGTACAGATACAGTAAGCAAACCTTTCTTAAAGGAACATACACTATGGTAGAGTCAATATTTATGCTTGTCTTGTAGATGGTGGAGAGAAGATGGCACAGCCTAGACTAACCAGCAGAAACCAGAACTAGAAGTGGGATCACAGGAGAAAACCCAGAGGATAGGGAGGGCGGGGAGAAGGCAGGTGACGGGGCTCTCGGCTTCTACAGGACAGGACAACTGTTCTCAAGGAAAGGGAAGAATGACCTGGAGACATCTCAGAGACTCCCACCACAGGCCCAGGGCAGAGGTGCTTCCTCCAATGTCTCTGGTTTCTGAAGGGTGGGAAGAGTGCTCCCAGTGCCCGAGGGGTAGTGTGCTCCTTGCGGAGAGCCACAGTGGAGCCCATGCTCCTAGCCCCAAGTCCCCGGGCCCCCCTCTACTCTGAAGTTCTATGAATTCCTCACTGTCAAGTCAGACCATGTGCATGTCTTTCTGTTCCTGCCCTTCTCATTTAGCACGGCGTCTTCCAGGCTCATCCACATCACAGATAATGGGATTCCCTTGCTTTTATGGACGAATAATATTCCAGTGTGCGCACTCTCATTTCCTCATCCATCTGTCCTTTGATTGTTACCTTGGCTGTTGTGTGTGGCACTGCGGTGGACAGGTGTCCAGGACCTCTGACAGCTCGCTTCTCTCCCTTTGGCTAGATGCACAGAAGTCTGATTCCAGGATCAAGCAGCAGATCTATCTTTAAATGTGAAGACCTTCATAATGTGTTCTGTGTTGGCTGTACTCACACCTCTGCAAAGGGTACCCGGGTTCCCTTCTCTCGCACCTTGCCAACATTTTTCTTTTCTCTCTTTGGTAATGGCCATTATTACAAGCATGAGATATCTTATGGCTTTGATTTACATTTCTCTGATAACTAGGGATGTTGGACAGCCTTCCAAACATCCATTGGTTTATTTCCATATTTTCTTTTGAAAATCTACCTAGGCCTACACACACCACATGCTTCACACACCTACACACACCACACAGCATATACACACACACACACACACACACACATACCACATACACCACACACCACATACACCACACACTACACACACCACACACACACACCGCTCACATCACACATACCACACACACACTGCACACACACATCGCACATACCACACACAGCACACACACCGCACACACACATTGCACATACCACACACACACACACACCACACACCATACACCATACACCACACACACACACACACACACACACACACACACCACCACCACCACCACCACCACCACTGCCACCACACAGTTGTTTTCTCATTATAAAATTGAATGGGCTCCTTACACATTTTGGGTGCTGACCCTTATTCCTGCAGATGGTTTGAAACACTGCCCCATGTCCCCTCGGTTGTCTTGCCACCTTTTTTTTCTCTTTTTTTTTTGGTCTTTTTGAGACAGGGCCTCCTGTAGCCCCAGCCATCCTGGAACTCACTACGTAGACCAATCTGGCCTTGAACTCACAAGATCCACCTGCCTCTGCCTCCCGAGGGCTGGGATTAAAGGCGTGTGCCACCACGCCTGGCAGGTTGTCTCTCTACCTTATTGAATGGTTGCTTTGTTGTGTAGAAGCTTTTCAGGTTGGTGTGATCTCGTTTGTCTATTTTTGCTTTTACTGTCTGTGTTTCTGGGGTCATATTCCAAAAGCACCCCTGACCAGCTTCAAGGTTTTGTCCCTGTTTCTTCCAGTAGTTATATAGTTTCAGGACCTATTTTCAAACGTTGTGTGTATTTTGAGTTGATTGTTGTATATGGTGTGACATCAGTCTCTAATTTGGGGGCTGGAGAGATGGGCCAGCAGTTAAGAACACTTACTGGTCTTCCACAGGACCCGCATGGCAGCTAACAACTGTCTGAAATTCCAGTTCCATGAGATCTGACACACTCTCTGGCCTCTGTGGGCATTGCATGCATGTGGTACACTTACATACATGTAAGCAAAACACTCATATATGTAAAATAAAAATAATAATTTTCAAAAGACCCCAACCTCACTCTTCTGCAAGAGGTGCTCCAGTTTCCCACACTGTACACGGAGGGCCTGTGCCTCCAGCCATGCACACGTGCCATCTCTGGTGAGATCACATGGAGCACCAACGTATGCACATCTCTGCACTCGCCGTGCTGTCACATCACTCAGTGTGTGTTTTTATGCCAGTACCATGACGTTTTGATTTCTGTGGTTAAGGAACACATTTTGAATCAGCTAGTGTGACGCTTCCAACTTTGTCCATTTTGAATCAGCTAATGTGACGCTTACAATTTTGTCCATTTTGAATCAGCTAGTGTGACGCTTCCAACTTTGTCCATTTTGCTCATGGTCACTTACGTTTTCAAGGTCTTGTTTCCACAAAAAATTAGGGTTGTTCACCCTAAATGACTGGGGATTTTACAGTGGTGGCACTAAGTCCATGCCGTTTGGGTAGTGTGATCACACGAGTCTATAGACCATTTGGGTAATACGGATATTTTAATAACTAAACTCTTATGATCTATGAACGGAGGATATCTTTCCATTTATTTGTGTTGTTCTTCAATTTATTTTGTCGTGTTTCATAGTTCTCAGTGTAGAGGTCTCTCATCCCCTTACTTAAATTCAATCCTAAATAATTTTTGACTCTTTTATAAATTAGAGTGCTGTCTTTATTTCCTTTGAAGATGGTTCATTATGTATATGACACAACTGATTTACAATCTTACACTGACTTTGCATCCTGTAGCTTTACTGCATTTGCTTATTAGTTCTAATGGTTCTCAGTGGAATTTAGAGGTTTACATATGAGGTCGCATGGTTTGCAGAGACAAGAGACAACCCTCTTTCCCATTTTGATGCTTGTCCTTCCCTCTTGTTGCCTAACAGCTCTGGGGGGCGGGGCTCTGTGTGCTGAATTGTGTGGTCCTCGGAATGAGCACCCTTGGGGCACGCCTACCATTTGATACTATTTATTCTCCATCTCGTGGGGCGGGCATGCGCCACTGCGGGTGTGTGGCGGTCAGAGCAGCTCTCGGGAGTGAGTCCTTGCTTTGCCGCAGGTTCTCTCTTGCTGCTTCTGCTGCCGGCCCGGGAGTGTCCAGCTGCTGGTCCTGCCTCTTCCTCCCCTTTCTGAGGGAGTGCTGGGATTATCGGTGCTCCTGCCTCTGCCTTTTTAATGTGGGTTCTGGGGACTGAAGTTGTGTCCTCGGGCTTCCATGGCAAGCACTTTTTACCTGTTAGGCCATCTCTTAGGCCCCCAGTTTAGATAATATTTAGATGAGACTTTGGACTTCACACATTAGGGTGGATTCAGGAATGAGTTAAGCCTCTTGGAGCTGTTGGGATAGAATCTGTTTTCTTTTCCTTTTCTTCTCCTTTTAAGACACAGTCTCATATAGCCCAGGCTGACCTTGAATTTCTTTTGTTTGGCTTTAAGAATTCATTTTGTAGGTAAGGGGACATAAACTTTGGGGGCCAAGAATGGGATGTTAGGACAGAAACAGTCTCCTTGAAATCTGAGCTTGAGTCATAACTCCCGATGTTGCTATAGTGGAGATCAGGCCTATAGGAGAAGACTAAGCTTAGATAAGCCAATGAAGGTAGGTCCTGACCTGATAGCATCAGTGTTCTTATAAGGAAAGATGCAAGAGCGCCTGCTCTCACCTCCTCATCCTCTCCTCTCACTGTCCTCCCTCTTCTTCCCCCTTCTTCCTTGCTTCCCTACAAAGAACAGGTTATGTCAGCACTCAGAGAGATAGAAGCTGCCTACAAGCCAGAAAGAGAGGGCTCCTCCGCAGAAGTGGGCTGTGTTGGCTTCAACACTAGAACTGTTGAAGCCATGCAGTGTGTGCTCTGTTACAGTGTCAAGAGTGAAATGTGCCTCAGAGGTGCCATACACAGCATGCATGCTCTGTACAATATGTGAATGTGCATGAATCACATATTTACATAGATGTATATGTGTCAAGTGTATGTGATCCATGTTATACACCTACCATCTCTTTCTTGTTTGTATAGATACATATGCAGAGAGAGAGAGAGAGAGAGAGAGAGAGAGAGAGAGAGAGAGAGAGAGAGGGAGAGAGAGAGAGAGAGAGACCTGGTCTCCACACTCCAGCATCAAGAGAGAGAGAGAGAGAGAGAGAGAGAGAGAGAGAGAGAGAGAGGCCTGGTCTCCACACTCCAGCATTAACTTCATTCTGGGACTTCCCATTCAAACCCTGACCCTGGTCGTGTGTCAAAGCAATCCACATCACTGATCACAGGATATATGACCATAAAGCATATATAA